GGTGGCCACGGCTCCGGGACCCCTGGCCCTTCTCCCTGGAGGAGGTTTTGGTGGAACCTGGGGCCCTACAAGCTGAGCCCTGCCCGTTCACTACATGGCATTTCTGAGAGCTGGCAGGGGCTGGAGGTGGTGGTGGGGCCCGGGTGTAAAGCTTGCTGAGGGGCCCATGTCTTCTTTCTGTCACCAGGAGGTGGAGAGAGTAACCAAGGTGAGTGTAATCAATTGCCTCCTTCCCCACCCTCCTACCCCTGCTCACAGACTTATGGTAGAGAATCTGGAGTTTCCAAAGCTTAGATTTTTAAATTTGCCTCCTTCTCATTTGAGTGTGAGCCTTCAAGACTAAAAATTCTAGGATGCACCTTCTTCAACCTCTTAGCTCTTCTCTTAACTTCACCAGATACTAACATTTGCTCAAACAATAACCCTGACATGCTACAGTCCTCTGAAGCCAGCCCCCCCAAGGACCTTCTGATCCCCAAGGCCTCCCTCCAGTATCCATATGACCTCCCAACTGACCCTGCCTCGGAATTCCATGTTCTACCTTCCCCTGCCCCTCTGTCTCCTCCCTAGAGCTCCCCTCACCGCAGTGCTTCTGGAAAGCTTGAGGCTTCACCACTTGGCTGCAGTGGTTACACACAACCAAATAGAAGTCGTCATGGGCAGGGCAGTGCCCGAAGATGGACATGTCTGCAACGACAGAAGCCCTGTCACTGGGGCTGGGGACCCCAGGGTTTCCCTGGAAGATCAGAGAGCACTCCCACCCACTATTCCGAATTCTGACACTTCCCCTCCCAGCTGACATGACAGACTTCATGCTGGCTTCTCAGTTTCCAGAGTTCAATCTAACCAGTCCCTAAGAACGTGGGCTCTCAGGTGAGTGGGTACCGATAACCTATGATTAGGATCTCTCACAACAGGTTACAGGAGCCAGAGGAATGGGCTGACTCAGACCTATCAAAGTGAGGATCCCCAGACCTGCTGCTTCAAGCAGCCACATGGTATGTGGTACACAGGGGAAGGTGGTCCTGACTAATCTGGGCCCCAGCCCTATTGTATGTTGACTCCCACCTTCTTTAATGAGGGTCATGGCATCCAACTTCTTCATGTTTTTGTTACTCTCCTCCAACTCAGCCCCTGGAGGAAAACACAGCTCAGAAGGACCACCCCCTTCCCAGAAGCCCCAACTCCTAGCCCTTCAGGGCCTGCAGCCGAACAGTATGCAGCCTGTACTTCCAGACAAACTCCTGGTGCCCAAGGCCACTTGGAGAACCTTTCACTGGGTCATTCTCAAGGGCCCATTCTTCCTTCACCTCCTACCTCTGGAATGAGCTGGCTCCATTAGGCAGGATCCGGCAACCTTTCTATGGACCTTTCACTCCAGGGTACAGCTCAGGGTTCAACTGCCACCTAGCTGGGTGATTGTACATAAAAATCATCTCTTTTTCCGGGCCTGCTTCCCCATTTCAATGGGAAACAGTCCTTAACATATTTTACTATAGATCCCTGAGTCCCTTCTTGAGATTTCTCAGGTGGGTCCTTTCTGCTACTCTGTGACATCCCAAACAGATACTTGCTCAGGTCTGCATCCCCATGAATTCAGTTTTGTTCCACCTGGGCTACCATGGCACTGTCAAAGTTATACCCAGCTTCTCAGGTCCTGAATTGATAGGAGGGCCATAGAGCAGAGAAACTGCTGTCTTGGGGCCCTTTGGCATCTTCAAAGGCCCCTTGGTCAGCTACAGAAGTCCCTCCTGTCCTTAGGGGGGCTTTAGGCAAGAGTTGCCCTTGTACCTCAGTTTCTGGGTTGATGACAAAACCATAGCTATGCAAAGCAGCTCTTTCCCCATCCCCCTACCTTTCTCCTCTCCCCTCCCTCCTCTACACCCCCTCCCTGTCCCTTGGAAAAAAATCAATCTGAGTCACCAAACCCATCTGATTCCATTTCCGGTTCTCAATGCACCCAGACCCTGACAATGGCCCCATCCTTGCCCACCCACCATGGGGCAGTCCTGGGATGGCCCAGGCTCCCACTTAGGTCTGCCTCTGACACCTACTAACAGATCTGTTCCTTTGTAGGGTAAGAAGATTATTGACAATCTTATATAATCTCCAATATGAGGGGTGGTAGGTTAGGCATGTAAGAGACAAGCGGCTCCCACTCTAAGTCTGTTAAAATGCAGTGATAGAACTAAACTGAGTCGGACATCTCAAAGGAGAACAAGTGTCATCAGAGACCACTCCATGTGGTCTCCTCCTCCATCTCACCTCACTTGCAAACTTCTTCAGGGGCATGATGCCTACTGTCACCCCAAAGGCCACTAGGCCAGGTGCCCTCTGGGGCCCAGCAGAAAAAAGATGAGCAGAAGGGGCTGTCAGCCCGCTCACCAAATGCACTCAGGGGCCTAGAGAAGGTGGGGGCCAGGGGACGGAGCCAAGAAACAGGGCAAGAGGCCCAGGAAAGGACGGAGGGGTTGGAGGAATGGGTGGATGGAGAGAAGGAGGGAGGAAAGGAGGATGGACAGATAGATGGACTGACAAACTAATGTGGAGAGGGCAGGTGTCCACTAACTGCAGCCAGCAGGCAAACCGAAAAGGTGCAGGAGGCGAAGGAACAAGGGGGGGTTGGGAGGGGAGCACAGAAGTGGGGTGCGTGGGAAACACGTGGAGAGGACTGTTGCGGATGGGGAAAGCCCAAGGCAGGTGCAGGAGGTGCGGAAGGTGGAGGACGGCAAGCAAGGAGAGAGATAAAAGACAAGCAGATGTGGGGATAGGTATTGGGCACAGGCAGAGCAGAGGTGGGCTGGGTGGGCTGAGAAAGTGGAACGGCGCTAGGACCCGGAGGCGCGAAGCTGGCAAAGCGGGCGGGCACTAGGACCCAGCGGGTCCTTTGTTTGGGGGGCCGGGGAGCCGGACGGCGGCTCCCAACGGCGGCTCCCCTCTGCTGGCGGGGACCCGGAGCGGGGGAGGGGAGACAGTGATGGGGTCCTCGGACTCTAGGAGAGCTTCACTCACCGTCGGCCGCGGGCAGGTCGGCCCGCTCCACCCACGAACTCCAGCTCTGTCCCGCGAAGTCATCGAGATTCGGCACCCGCCGCTCCAGTGCGGCCATTGCTGCCGCCGCGCGTTCACGCACCGCCATCACCGCCGCGGACGCGCGCCCGCCCCGGCCCCGCTGCCGCGCGGCCCCCTCCCACCAGCCCCGTCGCGGGCACGCCTGTCCTTTCCCTCCCACCTTTCAGCTCACTCTTCGCGCAAGTGCAGCACAGGCCGCCTTCCCCGCACACTCACTCGCGCATTGCCTTCTGGGAAATGTAGTTTTGGGGAGGGTGCTGTTGCCTACCGAGCTTGCTGTGAGAACCCTCCGTCATGCACGATTGCAGGGGAAAAAGAGACCAGAGCCCCAGGTCCTCCACGCCTAACCCTCGTGCATACATTCTCTGCGCTATCAGCGCACTCTCCGAATCTCAACACACACACCCCCAGCCCCAAACCTCTCTCTGCCCAAGACGCCCCTCTAAGCCGTGCCTCCGCCAGCTGGCTGGCGCCCCTTCCCGGGCTGGCGGTCACGAAGCGACTTCGTTCCCCTGTAGATCGAATAGGGTAGGTGCAGGGAGGTGGGCGCTGTGAATCAGAAGGGCAAGGGGAGGGAGTGTGTAGGATGTGCTGAAGGACACAGGGGTTGGAGTGGGGGAGGGTCCACGGCTCTCTAGTTGTTCCTCCGCTGTGGGAAACAAACCCACGCTGTCCTGACGCAGCGCAAAGGGCTGGAAAGGCGTTGTCTGGGTTTGGGAGGATTTAGCTGAAGCTGACCAAGATCACCTGTCAGATGACAGAAATGCTATCTCCAAGTCGGAACTGGGGTGGCCCCGAGGCTACTGGTGTTTGCAGCATCTCTGCTGATGCGCAGAGCTCTCTCCTGAGAACCACGATCGATAGATACCCTGTACCGCCTCTTCCTAACCCCTGGCTGGACCTTGACTCCATCCATCACTTTGGCTTCTTTTTCTAATGAATATTTTTTCTGCTGGAAGGGCTGCTACCAGAGCTTTGGCATAGGGAGATTTCTCATCAGATCTGTCATTTTTCCTTGCTTTGGCCTGGAAAATACCTTAATCATCCACCTCTTTCTTCTCAGCTGATAACAGGTCTTCCCAAGATTTCTCATCAGATCTGTCATTTTTCCTTGCTTTGGCCTGGAAAATACCTTAATCATCCACCTCTTTCTTCTCAGCTGATAACAGGTCTTCCCACCCTCACACAAGCAAGAGACAAAAGCCCCCCCCCCCAACACACACATACACGCACACATCAGTAAAGAGATACTAATTCTCTTTTCCCTCCTCAGCCCCTCACATCTCACCCCATATTCATTCCTTCAGCTAAGGGGAAACAGAATTGGAGGCAAATAAGATATGGGACTTCAAGACATCAGAATTTCCTCTCCTTTTCATCCAGGGAAGGTTTAAGTACTTCAAGAATAATCTCTGAGAGCAGAGAATCTTAACCCAAAACCCAGATAATCCCTAGGATGTCCAGGAACCTGGTAAAATTGAGTTTAATATTGTGCCCAAGTGTATTTTTCTAGGGAATGTAAATGTAGTGTGTGACTCTGTCAGAAGGAGATTAGAGGTGCAAGTTTGTTCAGCAAGAACCTTTATGATTAAAGGGACAAAATGTATGGCCCTCAACTTCTAACAGAAAGTTTCTCTGGGTCACAGGTGATAGGAGAGCAAATGGAAACAGCATTGTGGAAGCCACCATTTCTCACTTTTGAGTTTGAGCGACCTTGAGTCTCAGTTACTTTGGACTAATTGGTGCCACAAAAAGAGATGTCACCAGATTGGGGTCTGAGACGAACAATTTCTCAGCCTGCAAACTCTATTACTTGGGGTGCAGAGTGGAGGGGAGTGAAATGATGTTTTGCTAATATTTGTCTGAGAACTTAAAGGGGAGGAAGAGGAAAAAAGCCCCAGGAGGGTTCTAGTCTTGGCTCCTTCATGGCAAATGTTCAAAGCACTGTTTATTCAAATGTGTAATAACAAGCACCAGAAAACGACATGCAACATACTCCCACCCCTGATCTGCAATCCCAGAAGGAGATCTATGACCAAGGCTGTGGAGGGAACTCAGGTTCAGGAAAGGTCCTAGGTGGACACCCTGGCAGGGTCACAGTTTACTAGGGCAAAGGACAAGTGCCAAGCCTGTTAGTCCCCTGCAGCAAATGGAGAAACCAGACATGTTCTCCTACCTCAGACCCCACTAGGCAAAACAGTGATGCCAGCCCTGTTTGGAGGGGAATTGAGTCTTAAGAGGATAACCCAGCCCTCTGGAGGTAATGAGGTAAAAGCAGCCTTTTCTCTTAGGGTGGCCATGGAGAAAGAGGCCATAGCCAAAATGAAGACTCTTCTGGCTGAGAACAAGCCAGCCTCTTGAGGAGAAGAAAGAGCCTTCTCTGCTGTAGGTAGAAGTCTGGGCTAGAAGTCCGTGGTAGGACAGTATACCCACCCACCCCTTTCCCTACCTGAAAGACCAGTTGCTAACTTCAGCCCACAAATGAGAACACTTTATCCATCACATTTCAAATAAATTATAAATACGTACACAGAATCCAAACAAAATTCCAGTAAAAGCTGCTCACGGACCCTCACAGGGGCCAGTTTGAAGAAAAATGAAGGTCACCCCTTTGTTTTCTGTGTCTCTGGAGCTGTAGGCAAAACTGTCCCCCCTTGTCCTAGAGCAACCATGGGGACAGCTCTGGACAGAGAGAGGTTCAGACTTAGAAATACCCTCATCCCCATCCCCTCTTCCCTCCTCAAATCCTTTTCCCAAAATCTTGAAAATAACAAAACAAAACAAAAAAACCTAATTCTTTCACTGAAGGACTCTGGAGCATTTGAGGATATAAATCTCACATTCCGCCATCAAGTGGGGAAACTGACCCAAAGAAGAAAGGATTGGCTCGAAGTCAAAAGTCTGACTCCTGGGGACCCCAGTAATACACAAGTTACTATGGATTGTGTTTAGGGAGGTGAGGAGGTTGGAGGGGTTGACTCAGTCGTGAGGAGAGATTGGCATCAAGCACATTCACCTTTGGGGTGATAAATGGGCTAATTGGCACTGAACTGGAAAATGGCTGGACTCTTTCTTCTTCATCCTTCCCTGGGCAGCCCTATGGGTAGGGCAAACTGAAGGGTTTTGAACTGGGTATTAGATGGATGGCCCTGACCCAGTCAGCCCTGACTCTTGGGCCCTGGGATCCAGAGAGGGACTGAAGGAGGTATCAGCAAGAGGAGACACACCAAAGACAAATAGGGAACTCGGTCCCGAAATGGAGAAGCACCAAAGTATCATCCTGCCCTGGACTAAGAGGGATAAAGCCTGGGAGAAATGAGGAAGCAGGAGAGGGATGGAGAGCAAAGGGAGAGGGCATGTCCTTTTGTAAAGGTGAGAAGGGAAAGTATGAAAGTGGGGTGGACCAGGGTGGACCGGGGTGGGCCGGGGACAAGCGGAGTGAGGAGGAAATGGGCCCATCCATCCATTTCCTGGGGCTCTGGGGCAACTTAGACTCATGATGGTCCTTTGGGCTTTTCCAAGCCCCTATCTGGCCCACAGGAATGAAAGGAAGGCCCAGGCGGACTTCAAAAAGGATCTTGAATGCCTCAGACCCAAGAGGCTGGGGAACAGAGATAGACAGAGAGGTTGGAGGTGAGAGGGCTGAAATGGAGATGCTCCTAGAACCCTCATCTTGTATCCCAAGTGTGAGACCAAGCCCAAGGAGGATAGGAAGGAAGGTAAGGAGTTCTAGGGCAAGTGTGAGTTTAGGGTGTTGGTGCAAAGTGCCCAGCCTGGAGGGGTGGGAGGACTGAGAGAATAGAAAGAACTGATGTCCAGTAAGGTTCCTGGCTTCAGTTTCTTGAAGTTACAACTTCAGTTTCTTGAAGTTGCAATTTATTTGCTCTCCACTGAGTCTAGGCCTCATCAGGATCCTTTGAAAGGCTGTTTTCTAGGCTAGTTGGCCTCCTGGGTTCCCACATGGTGGGCGCTCTGTGGGCAAGCAGAGGCCAGAGCAGAGGGTGGGAGGCATGCTGAACTCAGGCTAACTGGACATCAGGACAGACACAGGACCTAGATGACAGCCATTGAAGAGGGGTCACTAAACCACTGGTGGGCCCTCCATGCAAGGGATCAGGAAGAAGGCTGCCAGCTGATAACCCCTCCCCCCACTTTTATTGTAGCTGGACAGGTGGATAGAATTGGCTACTAGGAACCAGTCTCAGGACTCTGGTCTCCTGCCCCCAACCCTCATGTGCAGCCAAGCTGGTTCTCATAGGCTGTAAGACCCCAAGTAAGACGCCAGGGTCCCAGCAGTAGACAAGAAGCATCAAGCTCCTGCCATCTGGGGCTCCAGCAAGTGGAGGGATAGGAAGCCACTGGGAGGGCTGCCCAGGTGTCCAACAGCTGATGCCTACCCATCCATTGATGTCTCAGAGCTCAAAGCCCAGAATGATGGGAGAGGGAGTTGGAGGAGGAATAAAAGGGAGGTCCTGGAAGCCAGAGGTGTTGAAGAGGTGCTGTCCTGTTCAGGGAGTAGCCAGGTGGGGACTGCTTACTGCTTTTCCACCGCTCCCTGCTCAGCTGCACTCTCCTGGCTGGGGCCCTGGCCCTGGTCCTGGTCCTGGCCCTGGCCTTGCCCATGCCACGGAGTCTCCTTGAACACAAACCAACAGTTCCCGGCCCACAGGAAGAAGTTGATGAAGCCGAAGATCTGCAAAGACATCAGGGGAATTGGTGAGAATAATAAGGGTGCACTGTGGGAACAGGAAGGGGATGTACCTGTGTTGGGGGAAGAGGAATAGATGGCTAGAAAGACTTTATAAAGAGAACTGGATACAGAGGCAGGGTTTGGCTATCACCCACTAACGATCCTCTGGTGACAAAGTGTCTAACTCTGTCCACGGCATGCACACAAGTTATAACTTGGTCACTAGGAGAATCCGGCCCCTGTAGCGGAGAATCATGCAAAGCTCAGCAAGGAGCCAGGGCCCTGGTGATGCTTCCCATAGCACACACGGGCCCATTCCGGTGCCTTCTGCAGGGTGGGTGTGGCCAGGGCTGTCCAAGGTGCTTCTTTCCCAGGGTCAGGGCTAGATTCAAATATTTATTCAAAATATTAAAAAACCTATCAGCAGGAAGTAAGTATCTAGGAGGAAGTGTACTGAAATCACAATTACTTTGAAATGCAGTCAAAGTAAGATGGATTGATGAACAGGGAGAGGTGGATAGGGATGTGATAAAAGAAGTCTAGTAAAATGTTAATGGTACAGTTCAGATGATGAGTATGTGGGTGTTCATTGTAAAATTATTTCAGTTTTCAAAGAGAATACTTTGCTGTATTTGTGAAAAATTTTACAGTAAAATATTGGGGGGTAAAACCTATTAGTAGGGTCCCAGCTATGTCTAATAGGCTCGTGGGTGTGCCAGCCATTAAACCCTTCAGTTGCTGGGCCTTGGGGAGGTCCAGGCCATTTTCAGGGCAGAGCTGAGGTAGCTGGGATGACAGGGAACATTTGAAAAGCTCAAGGCCTCAGCTATTTACCAACTGATATGGAAATATTTCCATATTCTAATAACTGAGATGGCCAAACATGGGCATACCAACTGGACCCACCACTGTCCAAAGCCCCTTTCGGTGTGGAGGCCTGAGTGACAGTGAGACCTTTCTTCCCCACTCTGCATCTGTGCGCAGCCTTGAGCCCAGCCACAGCCCTGTGCTGCCCCTTCCTGAGCTCACATGTGGACACGTACAAACTGTAAAGAGGCAGGAGGAGTGGGAGGCAGTCACAGAGACTATGCTTGGAGGTGGGAAGAGGGCAAAGCAGATCACTAAAGAAGGAAGGAACAGGAGGCCTAGCGGCTCTCAGGTTCTCCCCACCCCAAAATGTCTTCTCAGGGTCAGCCAGAGGCCAGCAGCCAAAATTAGGTACAGGGGACACCATCTGTGGGGACTCCCTCTCTGTTCCTCTCAGAACCTGGTAGCTGGTATAGCACTGCCTCCTTCAAACCCTTTCAGTGGCCACAGGTCTTACCACGGAGATGTTAGCCAGTCCCATGGAGGGTGTGGCCCCGGCACTGCACACTGCTTCCTCTCCATGGCACACAGACATAGCTGCAGTCAGGCTGGATGGCCGTGAGGCCCCCTTGATGTCAGTCAGGCCCTTGCCCCAGGCAGCTGCAGCCACCAGCCAGAAAAAGGTGAAGGAAACAGTCACACAAAAGTCCTGGGAGAAGCAGAGGGACAGGAAATACACTCAGAAAGGCCCTCACAATTGCCCACTTCTTTTCTTCTTGCCGCATGGCACTAGGATTCTGGGGTCCCAGGACAGCTGCCTCTTCCCAGCCTACCCAACACCTAGAGCCTCAGAGAGTCCAGATCATCCTGAGGAACCTGCTCACTGCCACCAAAGGAATCCTGCTAGCCCATGCCTTCAAGAAACAATGTGCCAAGGCATCTGATGGTCAGTGTCACCCCAAAACCTAAGTGGCCTGAACTCCCCACTTTTCCTTCACAACCTTTCCTTTGATCACCATTGCTTGGTGACAACTGACGGCTGAGTGAGGGCAGACTGCAGGAGACAATGAAGTCCCCTAAGGTACCCCTTCCACCTTGCATGCCTGCACTAGGGTAAGAGTAAAGGGGGAATAATATTAATAATAGCTAACACTTACTGAGGCTAACTAAAGTCCAGATGTTTTACATCATTTTCATTTATCTCTCCAAAACACTCTGAGATAGGTATTATTTTATCCCCATTTTATAGCTGAGGAAGCTAAGGTTTATAGAGGATAAGTGAGTTGTCCAAGAGTACACAACTAGTAAGGGGCAATGCTGGGATTTAAATCCAGGCAGTCTGGCTCCAGAACATGCTTCTCGATGCTACCATGCCTCCCATGAGTGGAGCAAGTGACGGGAGGTTGGCAGAGGCAGAGTCCTGAGATGTGGGCCTTCCACGGGCCTGAGGATCAATGGGAGCCACAGCATATGAAAGGACCGACAGCAAAGAGCCGGCAGGAAGATTCAGGGGAGTTCCACATATGAGTGTCAGGGGTTCAGGAAAAAGCCCCCATGTTTGTCTTCCCCTCCAGCTCTGACCTTAGCCCCAGAATGTATGTGTCCTCAGTTTCCCCAGGCATCCCCTCTGGCCTGTGCCCACTCACCACCAGTGGGAAGCGCCTGTTCTCTGTGTACAGGTTGTGGAAGCGCAGGTAAAGGACTAGCGCAGCCATGGCATAGAAGAAGGAAAAGATGCCCAGGGTCACAAAGAACTCGGCAGGGGCAGAGAAGTCCCCCATGAGGTGCATGGTCTTGGAGGTGGAGTCATCATCGCAGAGGGGCATCTCATACTGGACCCGGTTCAACCTGCAGGAGGCAGAGGAAGCCATTCTGAGCTGGGGCAGTCCTTTCCCTGTGGAAGTAGGTGGCTTTCCCTGGCCTGGGAAGTAATCCTGTGCTAGCTCTCACCCTGAAACTCTGACAGAGTCAAGAAAGTGGCATGTGGGAAGGAACATTTTCTGCAGAGAACCTTACCATCAAGACAGGAACTTCCCTGGAATTCTGGTCAGACCCTGCCCCCAACTCAGCTGCCCCCCCACACTCATCCACCTTGCCCAGATATGGTGACCATGTATTTTCCAAGTATCTTCAGGGCCCGTTAGGTCACACCTACAATATATATATACATAGTCCATCTATTTCCGGTAGCTAAACCACCAGGGAGATCAGGTTCATTTTGCCTCGGAAAGCATAGGCCCACAAGTGGCCAAGTTAGGGCTGGAGTTGCCCATTCTCAGGCCTTACTTAGGCCCCCTAATGAGTCTATACTGGATAAAATAAAGAGAGAAAAACAAACACCCTATTGTATACAAGAAACAGTTAATCTAACTGGGCTGGTGGTACTAGAAATTTCTGAAAAGGTAAGCCCCATCCTCATTCTCCTCTACACACTTGGGATCCCCTTTCCCTAAGCTCCCAAATAGCCAGGAAAGAGTATTCTCTCCCATCTCCTGGTCAAGGTGCACTTCCTTGTATTCCAGTGGTACCAGGTAAGCACCCCACATCAACTCTCTAGGATCTTAGTTCTAATAAGAAGCTTCCTTACCTTCAAGGCAGGGAGGAGGCTGCTGAGGGTCAGAGAAACTGCCTAACTTACCCAGACTCCTGTAAGCCTCCATCCCAAACTGCATGAGTTCTTCCTGTAGGAAGTGTTGTTACCTGCTGTTGGTTATGTATGGACTAGAACATTATTATAACAATGATCTGAGTTTCTGTTAATATTTTTCTCTGGATGATGTGTCTGAAATTCCTAAAGGGAAGGAGGGACCCAAGTCTTACAATTCTATTTGAATCTGGAGTGGAACACAACACAAGATCTTTAGGTTTCTGGAGGAAGAAGAGACTCAGCAGGTCATGCCAGTTCAGTGAGAGAGGCTGTGTGGGCTTAGAAGAAATTCCTGCTCACCTGAAGGGATAGCCGAATGAAACAATGATGGAGCTCACATCCTTGGCTTCGTTGTTGCAGCGAACTGTTGCTCCTGTCTCCCCGCTGTAGGAGCCGCAGGACCCGAAGGCGAAAATAGCAAAGAGCTGAGGGATAGTGAAGCTCCACTGAGCATCAGAAGACCTCAACTGGCCATGGTATATCCCTTCAGGACCACCCTACTCTCAGCAGCTGTAGATATGGGGGTGGGGGGAGGCAGAATTCCCTTTAACCAAGTGCCTCCTAGCAGGGACCTATGGCTTCCAGCCTCAGGGTGCCATGTTCACTGCACAGAGGGCTAAGCCACATTGCTGAATGAATGAGGTTGACTTTGAGTGGTGTCTGGGAGGGAGATGAAGAGACAGGTTTCCTGGTCTCCCCATTGGATATGACATTGGGGAACAAAGGTACCCTCCCTAAAGGATGACTAACACAAAGCAGCTTAGTCTTCTAGAAACTTCTAGCTCAAAGCTGGACTTGAATTTCCTCCCCAAGGGAGAGGAATTTTCCCTAGAGATCCTCAAAACAGACTCCCTTTTGCCAACCTAGATCAGGCATGCATGGAATTCTTTTTATTTCTCCTTTGAGCCATCATCAAATCTTATCATTACTTTGTTGCTAACTTCCAGTGGCTTCCTGCTTCAGTGGAGGTCTGGCTGGAGGGGACAACTGCCAAGCCTTCAGAGGAGCCAAAGCACCAGGGGCCGTGCTGCTGTCCCATGGTACTGCCAGCCTAACTCCTCTTCCCCCCAAAGCACCTTTCCCTTCAGCAACAGTGCTGGCTGGGGTGATGCTGACGGTCCTGGCTCAAGCCCAGAGAAAAGTATACTCCACTTGCCTTATCAGCTTCTGCTATTTCCCCAGTGGTGTTTCCCTTTGTAATCTGTTGATGTGGCCATTTCTCAGTGTTAAGGACCAGACACGTTTCAGATCACTTGAATTGTTTTCCTCTCTACCTATCATCACATTTTACTAAACTTCCTGTGTTGAGTGAAATAAAATTCTCCCATCCTATGATTTTTGAATTTCTTCCTGGGGAAACACACTTTGGTTAGAAAAGTAGGTGAGAAATTGGATTTTCTTATCCTCCCACATCATTCGTTCAGGACGTTTCCTGTGCGCTCACCCCTGGCTTGTACATGATGTAATCATTCTTATTAAGCAGTGAGCTTATTCTGTTAATTGTTCATTTTCTGTGTTTCTCTGTGACTAGGTGTCTTGAACATTAAGCACCTAGGAGATAGTTAATCTACATCCTACACATGCATCCAGAGTTTAGAATAGAGTTGTGTGCACATTATTTTGCTAATGCCTGATGGTGTAATGGCGAGAAAAGGGACCTGTATTAGAAGTTTAGAAAACTGAGTCCTAGTCTTGGCTCTGTCACTAGTTAGCTGAATGACCTCTAATGATTGGCTCTGCTCCCTTAGTCTCAGTTTCCTTGTCTTTAAAAAGAGGGGTTTGGAGCAGGAGACTGGAGGCCTTTTCCAGCTCTGTAAATCCCTCACTCTCTGAGGGTGACGCTCTCCGAGTGCTTTTGGCTGGGCTTGCGCGCAGCTGTGCACTGCCCATGTGGTGTCCGGTGGCACTGCCCTGCCTTACATTGCCTGGCCTGGCAGATCTTACCCAGGCTGGAGTTGTTGAGCCCCCACTAAAGGTTATAATGGGCACTTCTCTGTTTCCAGGAGGTTTAGTTCAGATGAGTGGGAATTATCTCCATTTTTAAACACATCCAGAAAGAAAATACTATAACTTCTCTCCAATGTCTGAATAACCTCATCATCCAACTTAAATTACAGAGGCTGCAGTAGAGCCCTGGTTGCTAATCTTACAGGTCTGGAGAGAAGTGGCCCAAAGCCTCTGCATCATTACTCTTTACACACTCCAAGTTGCCTCACTGGTGTAGCATTGGAACTTTTCTAGCTCTTCCTTATGGGAATTCTCTGATCTTTTGGCAGATCTGTGATTGTCTGACTCCTCTCAGAAGTTTCTTTATTCTTCTCAGCTTCTGGTACCCAGAACTAGACACAGTTAGGGTGTCATATTCTAGGAATGGCAGTACAGTTGGATATATATTTTAACCCGTTAGCAGTTGGTGAGTGAATGGCTTTATAGAGGTTCCCTAAGAAATATGTACTCCTAAGGTTAGGCAGTGAATGGTCAGTTATGAAGCCTTCTCTTCACCAACGCTCTCCTGACAGGCACTCCTGAACATCTACAGAAAGATGACATTTATTGAGCATCTGAGTTACAGGCACTATTGTTTAGTAATGAATAAAAGACAAAAAATCTCTGTCCTCATGGACCTAACACTCTTGAGCTGCAGTATCCTCACTGGTAGCCAAGAGCTAAGTGTAGCTATTTACATTTAAATTAATTAAAATTAAATAAAGTTAAAAATTTAGTTGTTCAGTCATACTAGCCACATTTCAAGTGCACATTTCAGTCACATTTCATAGCCACAGGTGACTAGCAGGTACCTATGGGCAACACAGAGTATAGAACTTTTCCATCATTGCCAAAAGGTCTGCTATGTCTAGATGATAGCTTTGAGGTCCCAAACTGGCTCTATGATTATTCTATGATGCTCTATGATCTATGATTCCTCAGAGGGTGAAACATACTCATAATAGCTTTAGTATTAACTGTATTCTGTTCTGATCTTTTGAAAGTCAGGAATCACTAAACACCTTATAAAACTACTAACCAGAATATACGATTAAAACTGAACATCATACAGTCATATGGTGCCAGAAAACAGGCAGTTTGATAATAAATGGATGAAGGGGAAAATCAAGGGGGGAATCTCAAAGATTCACAGGACAGGAGAATAAAAAGAATCTGAGATTATCAAGCCCAGTCTCATTTGACAGAGGCAGAAACTGAAGTCCCAAAAAATTAAGTGACTTTCCTAAGGTCACATTTAACCAATGTGAGAGCCAGGTTTAGAATTCATATCCCCTAATTACCTGTCCAGTGCTCTTTCTACTTCATTCATCCACTAATCAACAGTTATTGAGCATCAACTATGTGCCAGGTGCTAGAGACACAAAGATGAATAAGACTCAGTGCCTCAAGAATTTACGTCCAGAAAGGAGAGTGTCATGTTCAAACAAACAAACAAAATAAAATTCTGCATCACAAAATTATTAGGGCTAAAAAAAGAGATCTCTACTATGTGCAGGAAGGGTTGTAAGAAGGGAGGGAGTAGCTCTGCATCTGGGATGGAGCAGCAGAGAAAAACACCCTCTCCCAGCCTCCACCTTTCTGCACCAGATTTGCTTTCTTCCCTAACTGCGCCAGATGACAGAGCCATAGGGACAGGCAGGGAAAGCACTGAAATTACCCTGGAAGTCATCAAGCGTAAGGTCATAAAGAACAGGAGCCAAGGAGAGATGGAGACCCTGAGACAACGGGGGAATCTCTGGAGTTCAGGTGCCAACGAACCTTCTTCCTTTTAGATCTGCATTGCTGGGGACAGTGATGGTCCTACACTGCCCTCCACCAGTTCTGCCTCCTGTCTCTGCATCTCTTTTGAAAAGATATCAGAATAACCTTCCCAGTTTAAGGATGAGGCTCCTCTTTGCTGCTGATTAACTTCTTGGTGATAATCCTTTGTCAGTCCTGGGAACGCTAACATTCCCAGTCAGCGCAGCACACAAGAAAGGCAGGTTTTTCCCCCAAATCCTATTCCCACAATTATCTCATTGGTTTTGTGGACCCTGATGGCTTCTCTTGCATTCTTCACACTTACTGAAATAGCTTATTTTCATTAGATGCCCCAGGGCCAAATAAGTGACTTTGGCACCTCAGAGGTGAATTATTGATCAGGGGCTCACTCAGCTAATGAAAATATGACTTATTATGGGAACAGTGACTAACTAACCCAGAAGATTCTTTTGTACCTTACCCTCAGAGTGAGGATTTGGCAGTGACACTTGGATAATCTCACCAAAGGACAAGTCTAGCTGATATTCTGCACTAAGGGAAAGTTGAGGGGAAAGTAGAGGTTCAGGCTGAACTTACTGAATGTCTCTTGGACTGCCAGGCTCACCTTTGTCTTCCTGAATGCACGGATGCTTTACAGATATGACCTCCCGTAATCCTCCAGTGAGCCCATGAGACAGAACTCACCCTCATTTATAGAGAAGAGACCAAGGACCACAAACATTTTGTCACTTACCCTATGTTCCATGGCTAGGAAGCAGAGGAGACTGAATTTAAACCAAATCCAACCTCAAAGTCTGCCTTTTTCTTTTTTTAAAAAAACTAGTTCTCCAATAACTGGTCTATACCCATGTTATTTTGCTGGCTTAGTGTGGACTTAGCAAGACTCCAGAATTGGAATCGAGGTGAGATTCCAAATTTTCCAAATTTTCCAAATTTCCAAATTTTCAAGACACTCTAAACCAAGCTCCTGACTAATAAAAGAAAAACATTACTTTCTTCTCAAAGTAAAATCTTTGTTTTTTGGTAATAATGACCATAAAAGTTTTTGGTTATCATTACGATAACAGCAAGCTTTGCGCTTGCTTTCCTTTTCTAGGCAGGAGCATTTGATCTCCCCAAGCAGGAAATAAGTGAAAATAGCAAATGACATTTTCACTGTCATTTCTGATGCATTTACATTAGCTCATCTGCAGAAACTCAGAGTAAGTGAAACTCACCCCCTGAATTCAGACTAACAGGGTGGCAGTAAAAGCAAATCACGTCTACTTACCAGGCTGCCCTTTGAATGAAAGCTGAGTTAAGAGTCTCAGGGCCCCTTGGATTTAGCATTATGAGAGAGAGGTGTAACCCCTCTCTCAAGTTGAGGGTCACACAGTCAAATGGGTCTTAACTGTTAAGGATCATTGCTGACCCTGGGAAGAGACTGGATCATTTCCCTAGGCATTGTTTTGTGCAGCCTTTGTAGAAATATTGTGGGTATTGGGGGTGGAGTAGATAGACGAGTTGAAGAAGCAAGCTTTTCAAAATCCCCCTATGGAGGATGATTCCATGGTCTTAATAACCTCACTATTTCCCTCATCCCTTGACAGTCTTTCTCAAATTTCCCTTAGATCGATTTGTCCAGTTTAATGATAAAATGGTACTCTTACAGTTTAGGTTCTGCTCCTCCCAATCACTCACAGTGGCTCCCTGCTTCTGGATGTCAGTCACATGAAGCCTTAATATCATTCTTATACGGCCCTCTCTGGTACTCAAGTACGGGGTCCCAACAGGGAAGTAGGGGGAGGTGAAAGCTCGGTCAGCAAAAGGGCCAACTTCTCTTGAAGCAGTCAGGAGAGTGGAAAGTCCCCACCAGGTCCCAGAATTTTGCACTTGAGAGCTCGTCAGGCTTGCCTGTAGCCCCAGCTGGGGTCTCAGATATCCTAAGATAACCCCAAATGCACCATTGCCTCTGAATTGCAGATCTGATGATTCTCATCCAAACAATGATTTAGGAATTAGTGACACAAGTGCTCACTCCTGTCTCCAGTAAGTTAAAAGCCTTTTAGAACTCCATCCTCCTCAGTATTAATGGTAACATTCCCTAGCTGAATTGTGTGCCTAAAGCATATTAATTTATTCACACACCATTTGGTGTGTGGATTGTCTACCTTAAATCTCTTCTGTGATAGTGCGCTAAATGCTCTCAACAAGTCTTTATGATTTGAAAGAGTGACTGCACCTGTTCACATTCCTAATTTATACCCAGGAGGCTTTGGGCACTGGGAAGGACAGAGAGCATACCAATGTCTCAAAGTGCCAGTAAGGCAATGAGATGGTATTTCCCCTAGACCATTACAGGGGAAACTGAGGCCCTGGGCAAGTGATTTTTTTTCAAGGTCACAGGTTAAGTCTAGTGAAGGTCAACATTTTAGCATGCCAACCTGTTTAGAGCAGAAGGAATTCTAGGGATGGTCTGATTAACATTTGACTAATATTGGAAACTGAACTCTAAAGAAGTGACTTGCCCAAGGTCACATAAACTGGAAAAGGCATGTGCAGATCTGGAACTCAGGGCCCCAGCTTCCCAGCTCAATGTTCTATCTTATTCTACATGCCACCTTTGACCACACTATGATTTTAGCCTCTTAATTTTTTTCTTGTATTTAATACTAGAGCCATTAACTCCATTCATTCATTCATTCATGCATGCATGCATTCATCCATTCCCTCACTCTGTTTACAGGAATCCAGATTACTCTAGTGACTTCAACAGGGCAACCAGTAGCGGGGACCCAGTCCCCTGAGTTCACTTCCAGAATCAGCCAGGTCCTGGTGGGTTTGGGGGTAGGATGGTGTCCATCACCTTCTTCCTCTCCTCTGCCCTCTTTGGCTTTGCTGGTCCTCCTTGTCTTCCTCTCCACTATCACCACCGAGGAGTGGTATGTGCAGGATCAGAGTTCTGGAAAGGTTACACGCGGGTCCTCTAGCCCGGGTGAAATGTGAGCGCCCTGGGCAAAGACTTCTTGCACATAGAAGGACTGAATCCGGGACTCGGCATATGTCGCTCTTCACCCTCCTGCCACCAAGTGCTAGCTAGAGAAGCAGCCCCAGCCCGCCCCTCCCCCACCCACCTGTCGCTGCCCCCCGCCCTTCCGCCGCGGCTGGCCCAGCACCTCCCCACCCCCCACTCCGGCCACATTGCTTCGGGTCAGCGTCACAGTTCAGGCTCCCGAAATAGCCCGCTGGTTGGGCAGCGACTCACCCACTGGAGAACTTTGATGAAGCCCAGCGGCTCCTCCAGGCGCTGCCAGCGCAGCCCCACCAGCAGGCGGTCCACCTGCGGAGACAGAGGGGGCCAGGGATCAGGGCGGTGGAGGACCCCGGGAAAGCTGTGATCCCCTCCAACCACTCACACGCATAAGAGGGGGCTGAATAAGGGTCCAGCCCCGCACCCAAAACAGGGAGGAGGCGGTGAGAGAGCCCCAGAGGCGCGCGGGGAATACCTGCTGGCGCGGCGACTTGTCCGTGGTGCGACTCGAGCTCTCCGTCGAGGACATGCTGGCACGGCGGGGCCGGGGTGCTGCGAGGGGTCTCGGCTCCCTTGCGCGGAGGTTGCGGGGACTGCGGTGGGACTGGGGGCAGCTGACCCACGGCAGGTGAAGCGAGCGGTGCCGTAGCGCGAGCGGCCGTCGGCGGCCCGGGATCCAGGCTGGCGGGGTGGGTCTTGGGGGCGCTGCTGTTCGAGCTGGCCGAAGCCGCCTCCGCGGCTCTGCCCTGCGGCTGCAGAAAGCCCCCGAGTCCGATTCAAACTTCTGTCAAACTCGGGAGCGAACTTAGCCGCAGAGTCACGTGGCGGGTGCTGGCGAGCCCTTCTCCCGCCCCCTTTGCTCCCATTTCTGCCCGCAGGACGCCTTAAAGGGACCTGCGGCCTCTGAGGACTGTTCGGCCGCGAGGGGGCTCAGGTTCTTCACTAGCCTCCAGGGCCAGTCCGAAGCGTGACACGACAGCCGCTGCAACCCACAGCCCCAGTCGGGAACTGGCCTGGCGCTCTGGGACTCACTGGTTCCTAGCTTATTTTTCCCTCCTTTCCTGCATTTGGAGTCGCTCTGCGCGGTCCTTCTCTTCCACATCGTAATACCCAGAATCTAAGGGGGTTTTATTATGGCATAAAGCAGTGCTGAAATAAAGTTCTAAACCTTAACGGTTAACAAACTGCTTGCTTCTAAAATCTTCAAGAACCAGTACAGACGAAAAGGGCAATGGGATATAAAATGCTCACTTTTTATTCCCCATTAAGCGTTGCTTTTAACAGCAATGGCACTCATACATTGGTGATTTAAACGTCATTAACTTTTTAATATAAACTCAATATTCATTAAAATAGCCATCACCCTTTAAATGAGAGTGAAAAGTCTTTGAGGAACAGGGGGCTCAGAGAATGTATTTGTATTGAAAAATTGACATTGTTGCGTTATCAGGATCCTTAAATCTGTCCCTAATTTTCAAGACGTGGTCAGCAGGAGCCCTGAGTGAGCGCTCATGAATATTACGTATTCGGCTTCCCGGCTTGTAAATACAAGTTGGGAAAGGTTCAGCGATTTGTCCACCAAGGTCACTGGTGAGTCTGTGGATGGCAGTCATGAGGAGAGAACCGACCTGCGCCTCCAAAGAGTTGACTTGTAAATATGTACCCACTTCATCACAAAGGCATTTTTGGAGGTCCCTCTGGTACTTCAGAATGATTGCTTTTTGAACAAACAGCCATTATTAATATTACTCATCTCGCCATTGAGTAGGTGCCTTCCCAAAGTTGGAATAGGACTGGGTGGCTGGGCTTAGGTCGCTGGACTTGAAGGAAACGTCTCCAGCATATTTCCAAGCAAATCTAGGCTAAATAAGGAACAACTAAGTCCCTAGTCCAACTCTTAATAAATTGTTCCTCATCATAGGTTCCTTTTCTACAGAATAGAAATAATTTCTGTCCTACTTACTACATAATATCATCATGAGGATTAAGTGGTATTATGTATGTGTCAATGCCCACACTACACAAATATGAAATAATTTCCCTCATTCCAAAGTTACTAACTGTAACTTAATACTTAATACTAATAATATTTATTAAACTTGTCTACAACAAAATGCATACAGAATATAACACAATCAGAAAAGAGTCAGAATAATACAGCAAAAATCCCCACACCCAGCAACCAGACTTGTTAAATTTTAACACTTTTCCTTCTTTGGCTCAAATCCATTCTTCAAAAATGAAATGAAAATTGCATATAAAGTGGAAGTCCTGTGTGTATCCTTATGTCATTCCCTCCCTCTTGCCTTCCTCCCCACAAGTAAGCTACCCCACAACTATCCTACCCTGAATTTTATATCTGACTTATGCATATTTTAATGCCTTTACTATATATGTGGCTATATTTAGAAACAATACATAGAAATTCCCCAGAGTACTGTTTTTTAAATTGCTTTAAAACTCCAGAACGAACTTGGCAGCAGAGTCATGTGGCATGTGCCGGCTAAATATTATGTTTTAGGTAACCTTCTTTAGCTTGCTTTTTTACTTAATGTGCTTATGAGAGTCATCTAGCCTGATGTATATACCTTTAGTTCATTCATGTTAGCTGTATAGAACCCCACAATGTATATAGGCCACAGTGTATTTACTTATCTCATATCGATGGACATTTCAATTATTTCCAGATATTTACTTGTGCAAACAGTGCTGCATTGAATGTGTACACAACTCCTTGTGCACATTTGCATAGGTTGTTAGATGGCCCTGAATTTCCAACTTTCTTGGGTTTTTTTTGTCTGAAACACAAACCCTAGTAGGAAATAATTTTTTATGTCATGATCTCTTCTATAAACTGAAACAAAAGTTTCACAAAACATATTCATATTTTCTGTGTCATCTTATTAACAAAAAAATTTTGACCATCCAGAGGCAGATCCAGGTTTATACAATTTTATACAATTTTTGGGCCCCCTTTAGAAAAAAAATACAAAATTATGAATACAAAATTAGTAACCAGACCTTGGAAGAAGATTTCCAAGTAAGGGAGGCTGAAGTTTAAGCTTCATTAGTTTCAGGGTAAAAACCCCTCTGAGTAGACACACCAGTTGACTTAATGATTCACTAACATTGGGTCTCTACAAGCAGTTTGAAAAACATCCCTCTATACCTAAAAGTGAGCTGCTAAGTCATAACACCTGAACATTTCAACTTTGAGTTTTGATAAATTTGTATACCCATGGAACCACTGCCAAGATCAGGATACAGAACATTTCCCTCATTCCAAAGAGCATTCTCTGCCCTTTTGCTGCCAATGTCCAGGCAACTAATAACGTGCTCTTCATCATTAGAAATTAGTTTTGCCTTTTCTAGAATTTCAAATAAATGGAATTATACAGTATATACTCTTGTGCCTGACTTCTTTCACTCAGCATGTTTTTGAGATTCATCTGTATTGTTGCACTTATCATGCATTTGCTCCTTTTTGTTGTTGAGTAGTATTCCAATCGTTTTACAAAATTTGATCTGTCACAGTTTATCTTCCTGCCAAAGCATATTTGTGATTTGGGGTCTCTCTTTTTTTTTTTGCTGTTATGAGTAGAGTTGCTAGAAACATTCTTGTGCAAGATTTTGAATGAACATAAGCATTTATTTTTAGGGTAAATACCCAGAAGTGGGATTTCTATGTTAAGTATAAATAAGTGTATGTTTAACTTTATATGAAACTACGGAACTCTTTTCAAGAGTGGCTGTGCCATTTTGTTTTCCCACCAACGATGTATTCCAGTTGCTTTACATCTTCTCCAGTACTTGATATTACTAGTTTTGTTTTGTTATTTAGCCATTCTAGAAGGTATATAGGTATCTCATTGTGGTTTTAATTTGTATTTTCCCAACGGCTAATGATATGGAACATCTTTTAATGTGCTTATTTGTTATCTGTGTATCTTCTTCAGTCAAGTGTCTGTTCAAGTCTTTGGCCATTTTTAGATTGGGTTGTTTGTTTCTTACAATCGACTCTTGAAAATTATATATTCTGAATGCAAATCCTTAATTGGACATGTGATTTGCAAATATTTTATCCAGGTCTGTAGTTTGTTTTTTCATTCTCTTAACAGTTTCTTTTGCACAGCAGAAGTTTTAGATTTTGGTGAAGTCTAATTTATTATTTTTGTAATGGCTCACGCTTTTGGCATCATGTCTAATAACTCTTTGCCTAATTTTAGGTCACTAATATTTTCTCCTATGTGTTATTATAAATGTTTTATAGTTTTATACTTTATATTTAGATATTTTTGAATCATTTTTTGTGTCAGGTGTGAGATTTAGGTTAAGATTCTATTTTTCTTTTTCTGCATGTAGATGTCCAATTGTTCTAACACCAGTTTTTGAAAAGACTATTCTTTCTCCATTTAATTGTCTTTGCACTATGGTAAAAAACACCAGTTAACAATATTTATGTGAATCTATTTGTGGACTCTATTCATCTATGTGTATGTATGTCCCTTGCCAGTACCACCCTGTATTGGATGATGTAGTTTTATAGTAAATCTTAAAATAGGGTAATATGATTCCTCCAACTTTGGTCTTCAAATTGTTTCAGCTATTCTAGTTCCTTTGCCTTTCAAAATAAATTTTAGAATCAGCTCATCTACATCTGAAGAAATTTTGCCAGGATATTAACTGGAATTGCATTGTATCTATAGATCAGTTTAGGCCAAATTGACATCATTACTATGCTGCATTTTCCAATCTAGGAACACAGTATGCTTGTCCATTGATTTAGGTCTTCCTTGGTTTATTTCACCAGCATTTGCAGTTTTAAGCACACAGATCGTGTGTATGCTTTGGCAGATTTATACCTGAGTTTTTAATTTTGGGGGAGCCATTTTAAATGGTATTATTTTGAATTTAAGTTTCCATTTGACAATTGCTAGTGCATAAAAATATGATTTATTTTTTCTCTTGCCCTTGTATCCTGTGACCTTTCTAAACTCATGTTTTAGCTCCATGAGTTTTTTTGTAGATTCTTAGGGGTTTTCCATGTAGAAAATTATATTGTCTGCAAATTTGGACAGTTTTATTTCTTCCTTTACAGGCTGTATGCCTTTTGTTTATTTTCCTTGCATTATTGCACTAGCTAGAATTTTCAGTAAGATGTTGAACAGACATGATGAGTGGACACCCTTACCTTGTTCTATGTTCATCCTTAGAACATAGTAAATAGTATGATGTTAGCTCTAGGATTTTTATAGATTCCCCTTATCAGGTTGAGGAAGTTCCTCTCTATTCCCAGTTTGCTGAGAGTTTGTATCATGAACGGATGTTTAATTTTGTCAAATGCATTTCTTGTATCAAATGATAATGATAATGTTTTTTTTATTTGGCTATTAATATGGTAGATTAAATTGATTTTTTTAAGAATTTTATAAGATACATATATATATTAATTACTATGCTTCATTTTTAGAGCAGTTTTAGGATCACAGCAAAACTGGACAAAAAGTGCAGAGAATTCCCACCTCCCCACCCCCTCTGCACACACAGCCTCTCTCATCATCAATATCCTGATGCATCATATTGCACATTTATTTGTTACGATGAGCCAACACTGACGTATCATTATCAACCAAAGACTACAGTTCACATTAGGGTTCACTCTTTGTGTTATATATTCTAGGGGTTTTGACAAATGTATAATGACATGTACCCACCCTTATAGTATCAAACTGAGTAATTTCACTGCCCTAAAAATTTCCTAAGTTCTACCTATTCATTCCTCACTTATCCCAACCCCATGCCAACCACTGATCTTAGTACCTCCATAGTT